TCACACACACACACACACACACACACAAACACACACATACACTCACTCACTCGCACACACACACACTCGCACACACATATATATAAAAACTTGCTACGTGTACTGCGTTAGGCTTTTTGCGAAATATTAGACTATACTTCATTATATTTACTTTACCTGTTAGTGATATCTTAATTATTTAATATGTTTAAATAAATATTTTATGAAACAAGTTAAGACCCGTAAATTATTATATTACATCAACAAATAGAAATTGTATAATTTAGAGGTTAATTTAAAAACATTTTACATGTTTGCATACAATTTTTTTTTATTTGAGTGTTGATTATATAGTTAAAAATAAATAGTAATTGAATTTAAATTTGGGCTCTGTTGTTAATTGTAACCTTATACTAATGTAAAAGGGCTTCCTATAGTTTAGAGCAAAAGCTGAGGTAGATTTTTATCCCTAAGACATTTTTGGCTTTGTTGGTTTTGATTGCTTCTATTGTCAACATTTGTAAGTCGCTTTGGATAAAAGTGTCTGCTAAATGACTAAATGTAAATGTATAATCAGGTGCGTCACGCCAGAAGCAGTTCCAGCAGCAGCATTCACTCTGAGACTGAAAAAAAAACAGTCGCTCTTCCTGATGATGATGATGATGAAGATGAAGGTGCAAACCTGTGTGAGCTCATGCAGGCTGCGGGTGAACTGGCTGGTGTATGAGCACTGGTTGTAGTCGTGCTCCGCCCAGCGGCCCGTGCGGTCACACCTGCGCCACGCCCTTTTCTCCTGAGGGGCCGAGTCAGAGCGGGACCACGCCCTTTTCTCCTTAGGGGCCGAGTCAGAGCGGGACCACGCCCTTTTCTCCTGTGGGGCGGAGCCAGAGCGGGACACGGCACACGGCAGGAAGGCCATGAAACCGGCCAACGTCTTCGGCCACCTGTGAACATCATTCATCACATCAAGAGTCTGTTTGCGCTTCACTAATGTCACTTTTCTTCATCATGTTTGACATCTCGGTGTGGTTTGAATCACCTGGTGATTTTCAGTGGATAGTTTTATGCAATATATATACTGTATATATATATATATATATATATAT